AAGGATATATGCAAGTATTTCTCATTACGAATATAATATATATAATGATGCAAGTTGTGTTTCTTGGAAAGATATATGCAAGTATTTCTCATTACGAATATAATGAATTACATATTTTATGTAATAACAACTTTCTCAAAAATGTCAATTAATTGAAGGTAGTCTCAAATAAGTTTAAAATGAAACGGTAGATTTATGTTTCTTTGTTATTTTTCGAGAGTTTCTCATGATATTTACATTTTCTCCTTCTGCGTACGTACAGATTTTACAGAACTGAGGATCTCTGATAACTTATTCTGATCAACAGTCCGATTATTTGCTGAACAAAGTGACGTATTTGGACTAAATGCAGAAATCTTCTATGGCAATCTACTTTTTTAAAGTTCTACTCGTCAATTATGTCTCTCGATTTTAGAGCATCGATTCCCCGAGTAAATACTCCTCTTCCGGCATCACATAGCCAGATAGAGAGTCAGATCGAATCGTTTGTAGAGAGTTTTAGAAGAAATGGATCTGTCTTCACTAGTAACCTAAGCGTAGAGTCTTGCAGCTCTGGCTTGCGTGAAAGCTTAGGTCAACTCACGCCGTCGGATGACAGTACATACGACATTTCCATACGACACGTGGCTCATTCGTCCTATGCTTCGAGCAGCTGTTTTGATTCTTCATCGTGCGATGACGTCGTTATCAGTGATACTGGTAAGATAATTCAGGTTTGATACATTGGAATGCAGTGGAAACTTTGTTAAGATACAACACAGTTATATATTTTTACTACTGTGGGTTTATGTTAAACTCGTGAAAATCTTGCTATCAATAAAAGTAACCAGTATTTTTTGACTCTCTTAAGATATTTCTTTAGATTTTAAGATACATTTTTATTGTATTTTAACATCACATAGATAAAGCACATAATTACTATGTAAACATTGATCTTTCTTTATACACTAACGTTACGTAAGGTTTAAAAAACATTAAGCCAAATCTCAGAAAATCCTTAGCTGTTACATTTGAATAAAAAATGGTTGTAATTGAGAATGTGTCTGTGAATATAGAACATGTGGTTCTATGTTTCAGCTAACGGAATATATTTACTCAGGCATGCGCAGTCAAAATTCCGCGAAACCTTATTATAACACTGGAATTTATCAGTGTTTTGACTAAAAACCAAGATTCTAAACTTCCCACTATAGTAATATTTCGTGTAAGTCTTCCAGTTGTTATAAAACTTATATTTTGAACCACTGCATTAAAGCTACACCATTACTGATTTTTCATCCGAAGATTTTTTAGTTTATTTACCTTATGCTCAAATCAACTTTTTTTTTCATTCCTTGCAGTTCTTTTAAAGTTGAAGGAAATTAATTAAAGCAGCCCTAGAGTATAACAAAAGAACAATAAAAAGTTTGAGATCTAGACGCATGATATGAGAATTTAAGGTAAAAAAGCGAAGAAGTATTAAATGTCACGTAGGAAAGACTTTTTATTGGCATTTTGACGTAAAGACTGATGACGCAGCCGTGGCTGGACGGCTTCAACCAGTTATCAACTTCAGCCAAAAGGAGAAGTAAAATCTTTCCTGGGGATTCGCTCAGTAGATGAGAAATCAAGCATATCAGGTTTCGACCACTCTGATGTTCGGCGTATTTTCGTTCTCTATGATTATTTGCCTGATGGAGCCACAGGTGTCGCGTGCACTTTCTGTTCAAATAAATATAAAAAATAGAGAAAACAAAAGAAAGTTATAAAATGATACGACGCGAGATGTTTACGTCTGATTTTAAACTTATATATAAAAACACCTTATTTCTTTCCTTCCAGATAGAATTACTGACGACATTCTATTCTTCTTTCGCCATTTCTGAAGGTAATTGAAAACAATAAAAATATAAGGAGGGATAATATTTCTTCTACGGGGTCGGTCTCGGGAGTTTTCAGGTTATTATTAGTATTGTAGGTTATTTATCAATGTTACAACTTATGACTCTAACATTTACATTATAATCTGTGGTATATTTTTCTGAATGCCTGTTATATCAGTGAAATAACTAGCTTGAGAAGTATGCTGCAATAATAATAATAATAACACAACTACAAAGCAATCAAAACTAATTTAAAAAAGAGCAACTTTTAGTACTGACACATCTAAAATAAAAATAAAAACCAAATCAATTTTCATAACTTAGGCCATGGGGTTTGATCTTCAAACAACTTATATGCATGAACAATATTTTAACTAACAAAAGTTGTTTATTATTGTACTGAATTAACTCTTTAATTTCAAGTTAATGAATTCAATAGTTTTTAGTTAGACCGTTTTAAACTGAAGTGCAATTGCTAGTATACGATGCGCCATCTGTTGAAAACTAAGTAGTTGCTGTTTGTTTTCTCAGAAAATTAAATTAAATTTTTTTATAAGAATCTTCACACCAAAGCATTATAATGTAATTATACAAGTAGACTCATTTTTCTTTAAGTAAGTGGCATATCATGGCCATGGTGATTATATAATCTGACGATCGATCCCACCAGTCGTTGGTAAAGAAAAGCCCAACAGTTGGCAGTGGGTGATGCATATTAGCTGCCTTCCGTCTAGTCTATCACTTCCAAAAACAAAAATAAACAAACTTCAACTAAATATTATGAGCTTCAATGGTTGACAAGAACAACAGTAATATTTTCATACTTACGAATGCCTGTATTTCTACACAACAGACACGTGTAATATATTTTTTTTTTGTTTAAGCAAGTCTTGAAAATGCATAAAAAACGATTTATACCAAATGAAATTACTATGATAACACACTAGATTTTTTCATAACGTTTGGTGTCGTACTGCTTATTACGGTAGATACATAATATTGTAATTAACTAATTACGGTAACTATACTGTACTTATGTATATATATATATATAGAGAGAGAGAGAGAAAGGGGGTAAACATTACATCTAATATGAGCAGGACGAACATGACTTTCAGTTTCAATTAAACAATACACGAACGGAAATAAGAAAACAGGTTGGCAAAGACCAATGTCATCGACTAGAACCTCTGTTCGCTATTCCTTATCTGTCATTCCTAGTTTCCAAACAAATCCGTAAACTTATCGCTGACCCATCAGGGGATCTTTTAATGTTATAAACCCTCAGACTTACTGCAGAGCTGTGGGGGAGCAAGTTTTAAGGAATTACAACGTTCCGTCAACGATTAGAGAATGTAATAAGAAGCAATATAAGCTCAGAAATATTATTTTAATAGCTTTACGATTTTATTATCATAGAAACACCAGACTACTGCAAATGAAGAAATGATCTAAAAATGTTTATGTCTCCTAAGTTACAGTCATGAAAAAAATCAAATAAAGAGACGAAAAATTAATATATTTCTTCTTACTAAAAAGAAAAGAACACCTGGGCACCATTTTCGGGGGAAAAACGAACAACAAAAAAAGGTATTTATTGAACAGCAGTAGCGCCATCTTCGGTGTAAAAAACAGCAACAACATCCATATAAAATTCCTTTGTCACTATGTTACAAGAAAGAAGAAATTCGTGTTTATTTTTACCTCAAACCTACACAATTTTAACTATTTGAGCTCCATCCACCGCGTGGAAACAAACCCCGGATTTTAGCTTAAACACTATACCCTAAATATTAATTTTAAGTTCTTCCACCAATTGAAAGAGCACATATCAACGGTTCTCAGATTTTTAGGTTTGCAAACCACCTTCAGTTTAAACTTTTTTTGGAGTACTAATTCAGGCTTAATTGAAGAAAAAAAAAACTAGTTGCAAAATTAATATTTTTAACACTAACCCCTTAATGAAAGGATGTGATTGTTTTTTGTTGTTCTTTTTTTGCACAAATGAAGAATATTGCTTTATCTTTCAAGGGAAGAATACCACATTATGTATCCATTTCCGAAAGAAGTGAGTAACAGATATAAATTTTAAACTGCTAGGTGAAGCAGTCATTGTCACAAACTGGAAGATAAGTAGCTTTATAAATACACAAAGATATCGTCATCGCGATAATAAATGTGAATGAATCGATCTGAATATATTGTTCTGAAAAAACTCTTATTTTCAAAGTTACGTGTTTCTGTTGTTATCAGGATAAAACTGTTTGTTACCTTGTAAGGTTTACTTGGTTTTTGTATCTGTACTTTACCAATCGAAATCCGATTTTTAGTGTTATTTGTTTGATACAACCTTACTGTTAAAACGGCTCCTAGCCATGAGAAGAGAATTCTTTCAGTACCCATACAAGGTGTAGTCTGATCTTTGTTTAACTAAACATTACACTTATGGTAACAAAGGGTTCATTTAAAACTTTTGCTTTTTCATGGCATTCATTTTGTAAAACCTGCATTCAAAGTTAAGGTGACCGTCTTATCCCACCTCCCTCTAAGCGTTTAAACAATATGTTAATATTAAGCCTAAGAAAAGTGATGGAAGCGGCATTTAAAGGCAGAATCTCTTTTATTTCTTTCCACATTCTTCTCAATTAGTTAATCACATATTTCAAATGATTGAAGTGTATTTCATACTTTGTGTGTATGTTTTGTTAAGCCTAATAGACCAATTTGCTTCGTAAAAAAACGGACCCCAAGATGAGGTGAAATGGCACCTATCTAACTCATAATCAATGCGATTTAAAAGAAGCACTGCATTGAGCAACTGTATTTAAATCACTTAAACTGTCATTTAAATGCTCATTGCAGGGAATCGGAAAGGTCAACGGCGCAAAAGAAGGTGTACGTTAAACATGAATAAGAAAATTTAGATCGGTACTAGTGTGTAGTAAGACACACACAAGTGCCCTCCTCTCAGTAGTAAGATGGCCCCCTAAGCCACTTATTGTAAAGCAAACACATAAAACATAAAAAAAATCTGTGAAATTGAACTGTTTCTTTTACGGCATGTTTGGCTGTCAAAAATTTCTCATTTTTGAAATAAATCAAGTGAAATTCCTTTAATTATATATACTTTGTGGATGTAACAATTTCAAAGTGCTTACCTTAGATCAAAGTTGTTCAAAAAGAAAATTAAGTTGCTTTGATCACTAACATTCGTGTCCGTCTGCCAGATTATTTATTCACCGGTCACGTGAACAAAAGTTACACTTAATTCACTTATGATTAAAGAATTAATAACAACAATAAGACCAATAAAGTTATCAAGTAGATTTCAAAAGATCCAGAAAATCGAGCATTTTCCAATAGTTGACTATTCTTCTTCAGAAGGCACTCAAGTTTCTGGGTCTTTTGAAATCTATATGATTCATTTAGATGACAGTACATCATAACTGATGATATACAGGGGTGTCTTTTACGGAAAAGGGCTGTCTTACCTCACTTTCTTCTACATATATACAGCTAGGGCAAATTTCTTTCTTTAAACGTAACAGCATTGCATTGAATATATTTGTCTGTATTTATTTCATAAAAATCTTCATATTAGTAGTTATAATTACAAGGACGGTACTCAAACAAAAAGTTTGGTTTGAATAAATATAGTTATTTACTAGCTTACGTTATTTTATTTTATTCTATTTGAATTTCAAGTTGCGTGGTTGTGGAGAAGACGGAGTTTCAAATGGACTGCTCCAGTCACTGAAGTGATAAATGACTGAGAGCACAAATGTTCACTATTACCAGAGACAAGGCAATTGCAATACGCAAGAGGTTTCAGCTATTATGTATTTTAAATTTAAACTTAGAGATATAATCGCACGTTCTGTAGATTTCAATGGACAGTATATAATTCTGTTTTTAAATCAAAA